ATATATATATATATATATATATATATATATATTATAACTCAAAGAAATTAAATAACTAAATAGTTTAAATAATAAATTTATTGATGATGATTATGAATTTTATTCTTAAATCATTTTTATCATTTTTTAGATCTTATATTCTTTGTCACATCAATGTTACATCATCAATTTATATTGTCAATCTATATCAAGGTTACATTAATTATAATATTAATATCATATCAATATCAGCATGTTACATCATTATAAGTTAAGGTCAATTAATAGTTAATATTGTGTAATTTTAAAAGTTGATAGAGTAAAATTATATAATTATAAAAAAAATTGTGAATTGAAATTTACATAAATCAAACTGCAATTTTGACAAAATAAACGACCAATATATAAAAAATATAGTATTTTTTTTGCCAAATTACAATTTTGACCAAATAAATGACGAATTTTGATATAGGAATTTCTAACATACTATTTGTTTTGTACCAATATTAGTAAGATATAATCTTTTATCTACCATTTTAATAATTAAAAAACTCATAATTAAATGAAAAAATAATGACTATTCAATTTTTCCGTTATATACATTTATGATAATCATTTTGAAATTATATCAGCGTAATTATACCAGTTTTAAAAATTAAAAATTGTGGAAAAGTTAAATTACTAAATGCACATTTCCTTTATTATTATAATAATAATTATTATTATTAATAAGAAGTTAAGTTAAAGATATAAAATATAAAAAATTTATTTTAGGTGTGCGTTCAACTCTTTTTATAAAATAAAATTCATTTTATGACATAAATTAAAAAAATCTATCACGTTTTTTTTTCCAGAGTCCATTTTTTCAATTTTTGCACTATATACACAGCAAAATTGTATTTTTTTTTTTAAGTTTTAAACTTGCTAAATAAACTTACAAGTTATTTACAACGATAAGGATCTGTTTGGTGAACATGATAAAATAATATATGCAAATAAGATAATAAACTTGAATCTTATATAAGTTTGATATACAAAATAAGATAATAAACCAAATGATATTTTGATATAGACCAATATGATTTGTTTACGTGTGGCTTTCGCAATAAAGTCTCGTGTAGCTTACACAGTACTACACAAGAGGCCACGTCACGGGACACGTTCGGAAATTAAAAAATTGGCAATACCCTTTGTGGACCCATCCGAAATCAATTTCCAGCATTCGCAATTCGCGGTTTCCCTGGAACCACTTATGGCGCCTTCTTTAAATTATTGAATCTGGCTAGGGTTTCACTCTCTCACTCCCTCTCGCGACTTTTCACTCCCACTCGATCCAATTCGCTAGGGTTCCATCTTCTCGATCCCTAATTTCTCCCCCAAACGCAAGAAAGAGAGAAAGAAACGACAATGGCCGTGGCTCTGACGCCGGGGGCGATAACCACGATGTGCAGCGGCAATTGCACCGAGGAGTTGAAGCCGGTGCTGCAGGTTTTGGAGTTGAAGCTGGTGCAGTCGCAGCAAAACAGCACCACTGAGAGGTACCGTTTGGTTCTCTCCGACGGTTCCTTTTACCAGCAAGGGATGCTCGCCACGCAGAAGAACGACTTGGTTCATTCCCAAAGGTTGCAGAAAGGCTCCGTTGTTAGACTCACTCAGTTCATCTGCAACGTTGTCCAGAACCGCAAGTCAGTTTTCAACTTTTTCTTAATGGCTTCTTGTCTTTTTTTTGTTTTTATGATTTCAGGTCGATGAAGTTTGGGTAAAGGCGTAAATGTTTATCAAATTATAGATATTTTCAACTGTGGATACTGTATGGCATGTTATGCGTTTCTTTTTTAGTTATTTGGGATTTCATTGAATGGTTGTGCTTTACTTTTTAAAATATAGATTGATGTACTGGGTTTGTTTTGTTTTAGTGTTGATATTGATTTGTACTTGGTTGATGCATTTGATGTTAATTTGTCATGCTATCGGAAGGTTACAGGTGATGGTCATTCCTCATTCGCCTTATGTTCTCTATCTTACAATTGTGCTTCTGAAGACTTGTGAATCCGGATGCTTCTGGAGAAAGTTTTTTTTGGAACATGGGTGGCTATTTCTGTGATGGTTGTAGAGTTTCATGAGAAGAGCTTGTTGTTATTCTCTGGTGGTTTTGTTGGTTTTTATTATTGTAGACTAGTTGAGTTTGAGTGCTTTATGATTGCTCAGTGGAAAGCAGTTTTGCTTGTGATTATAGATTTTTTTTTCATACAGGTGTTAGTTATTGATTTGGTTGTCTGATTTGTTATGAACAGGATTATCATCATCGTCGACCTAGATGTTTTAATGGACAAATGTGAGGTGATTGGAGATCCTGTCGCTGCACCAAGAGGCACACCTGCAGAACCTGCCGCTGGTCAATCTGGACTCACCTCTGGGAATTCACAATCTTTAAATAGCAGTTCACATGCAGGTGGCATGGCTGCTAGGCCAAATGTTGCTGGGCCATCTCTGGATCATCCAAAAGTGAATTCTCCTGCCAGTAGTTATGTTAGTAATTCTTACCCTGGATCTAGTTATGCTAGTAATGCCCCTGCTACGCACCATAAAGTAGAGGCTGGAGAAAGTTTGTCCAGAACAGCATCATTCAGTGGGTCTTATGGTGATCAGAACACAAGTTTCCGCAATCCCCAATCTGAGGCTTCTAGGCCTTTGCAAAACTCTTATTCTCGTCCACCTCAGCCTATGTACCGGCAGCCATCTCCAATGTACACTAACAGAGGGCCAATTGGAAGAAGTGATGCTCCCCCCAGGATAATTCCGATAGCGGCATTGAATCCATACCAGAATATGTGGACAATTAAAGCCAGGGTAACAGCTAAGCAAGAAATCAGGCACTATAACAATGCCCGAGGTGAAGGCAAGGTGTTTTCTTTTGACCTTCTGGATTCTGACGGTGGAGAAATTCAAGCAACTTGCTTCAATACTGTGGCTGATCAGTTCTATAATTTAATTGAAGTTGGCAAGGTGTATCTAGTTTCCAGGGGAAGCATAAAAGCAGCTCAGAAGAATTTTAATCACCTTCGCAATGATCAAGTCCTAACCCTTGATTTGTCATCAACTATACAGCCATGCCCCGATGATGATAGCTCAATTCCCAAGCAGACATTTAATTTTCGTTCCATTAGTGAAATTGAGAGTGTGGAAAGCAACAGCATTGTGGATGTGATTGGTGTGGTGACTTCTATAGGTCCTACAGCTTCAATCATGAGAAAAAATGGCACTGAAACTCAGAAGAGAAGTCTCCAGTTGAAAGACATGTCTGGAAGAAGTGTTGAGCTGACTTTATGGGGAAATTTTTGCAATGTAGATGGGCAAAGGTTGCAAAATATCTGTGACTCCGGGGCATTTCCAGTTTTGGCCACAAAAGGTGTTAGAGTGAATGATTTCAATGGGAAGTCAGTTGGGACTATAAGCACTAGCCAGCTATTTGTAGAGCCTGATTTTCCTGAGGCTTACACACTGAAAAGATGGTTTGAAAATGAAGGGAAGAATGTCCCAACGCTCTCTATTTCCAGGGAAACATCTAGTTTTGGTAAAACTGATGTGCGGAAGACTATATCTCAAATTAAAGATGAGAAGTTAGGGACTTCCGAAAAGCCTGATTGGATATCTGTTTGTGCAAATGTTTCATTCATTAAGGTTGATAACTTCTGTTACCCCGGATGTCCTATCATGATAGGGGATAGGCAATGTAACAAAAAGGTGATTAATAATGGGGATGGGAAATGGCATTGCGATAGGTGTAATCAGTCTATTGAAGCTTGTGACTATAGGTACATACTGTCATTGCAGATACAGGATCACACTGGCCTAACATGGGTTACTGCTTTCCAGGAGAGTGGTGAGGAGATCATGGGTATTCCTGCAAAGGATTTGTATCATCTGAAGTATGAAGAGCAAGATGACGAAAAATTTGCTGAAATCATCCATAAGGTTCTCTTCACCAAGTATGTGTTCAAGTTAAAAATAAAAGAGGAGACATTCAGCGATGAACAACGTGTTAAATCAACTGTAGTAAAAGCAGATAAAGTAAACTTTGCGTCTGAATCTAATTTTCTTTTGGATTTGATTGATAAAATCAACACTGACAAATCACAATGTACCACCTTTCCTAACTCTCTAACCAATAATACTGGACTGGGGAGCGTTGAATCTGTGCAATTTAAGCCACCACCTTATAATCCTATAAAGAGCAGCACTGATACCAGTAGAGATTATGGCATGCCAGCAAATCAAGTGGGTCAGTATGGAAACCAATATAACAATTTTTCTTCAGCAGGTGCTCCTAGTTCATATTCTTCATCATGTACCAACTGTGGAGGCTCTGGCCATAGCTCTGTACTTTGCCCAAATGTTAGAAATGTACCTGGACAGTATGCTGGAGGAGGCTTTTCCAACAGGTCTTCTGCAGGATCTGGTGGTGGTGGTGGTGCTGGTGAATGCTTTAAGTGCCATCAACCTGGCCACTGGGCAAGAGACTGTCCTGGTTTCAGTGCAGCACCTCCAGCATATGGAGGCACTAATGTAATGCAAGGGAGATACGGGATCGCTCAAAATCAACATTTTGGAGGACATTGAAATTTGTCCAACCCATATTTTGAGCTTTTTAGAGTTTATTTTCATTTTGTTTTCAAGCATATCATGTCCATGTCTTAAATATATAAGCAGTTTCGTGTTCACTGTCAACTCTGTATATACAGGACATAATTATGTAGTATTGGTGCGACGTTTCTGGATGATGTTGACACGATGCACAGATATTTTGAAACGCTTGCTCGTTCATCATGTTAAAAGATTTATCGTAACCGTTTCGGTGAGACAAAGGATTTTTTTTTCTTTATTATTCTTTTTTTTTAGGGATTTCTTTATTATTCTTGTAACGTACTTTTGCGCTGTTTGTTACAATTTAGAACGAACTAAGTCAAATTTTATTTGGATTCCTTCAGCTTGTTATGTGTATATGAGTTTAGTACAGGATTTTTTTTTTTCAGTATTTAACTAATTAAGAAAAAAAATACCATACTGGTTCGTTTATGAATAAATGATATTGTAATTTCTTATTTTGAAAAGTCAGTACATGTACTATATACATTTAGATTATTATTTTAGTTTTCATTTATAAGAATTAATTTAGAATAACAATTATATATATATATATATATATATATAAAGTTCAATTCATAGTGTTTACATATTAACTATTTTTAGATTGAATTACCTTTAATGCAATTGTAGTTTGAGAAAAAAAATCAAAATAATTTTATTATTATTGACTAAATTAATTTTTTTTAAATTTTGATGAATTAGGTATTTATATTTTATATATAGGAATGGTGGAAATAAAATTTTTTATATTTAAACATACTCTTTAAAAAATGTTTAACAGGAAGATTTAAACAATACCAGTATAATTTTTACTAAGTATTATACCGTTCAATAACTTTATATTAAATATGAATTTTATAAATCCAATGATTAGATTTACAAAATTTACATTTAATGTTATTGAATGATATAATATTTAATAAAAGTTATACTTGTTTGAACCCTCCTCAATGCTTTAATATTAGTTTATTGTGTACTAAATACTTTTATTTAACATTTTTAACAAGAGTGATTATGAAGTAGAAATAATAACTGTTAAATAGAAGAATATGTTCAAAAAAAACTAATTAATATAAGTGTATTACACTTATACAACAAACATTAAACACTTATAATGTACTAAAAGTTTAGTATATAATAATTTATATATATATATTATATAATAAATTATATATATATATATATATATATATATTAGTAAATACTATATTTATTGTATTTAAAATTTGTATGAATATATGTTTTAAAAATAAATTATATTTTATATTTATGATAAATAAAAATTTAATTAGATAAAAAAAAATTTAATTTTTTTTTATAAACTCTCTTAAAGAAAAATCTTTAAAAACACTCTTATGATAATTATATTTAATATATAAGAGTTGATTAATATTGTTCATGTTAGCTATGCTAGTAATAAAGACTAAAACAAAGCATTTTAATTTGTGCATCGTCAAGATCTAAAAATGACAAAAAAAATTACAATAATTAAATAAAATAATGTTACATTTATATAAATCTAAAACATATTTAAGTCTAACAAGTATTTTAGTTTGTATATTGTACAAACTAGATATTTATTATATAATTAAAATTTATAATTATTTGTTAAAAATATCTATTTATACATTTTTAAATATAATTTAAACTTTATATAAATAGATATTTTGAAATAAATAGATTATAATTATTGATGAGATGATAACTATATTGTTGTACTGTGATGATGAGTTGTTGATCATTAGGACTAAGGGAGATGTTTTCGAAGGTTCTCATCCCATTGTGCATATTGAGATAGTTGTGGTGCTCTAAGAGCCAAATTTGTTAAAAAACCCTCCTCTGGAAGTTGTCTCTTGGAGTGGATGATGTTGTTCTCCTCTAGGACTTAGTTGATCCTATGTGTGGACAAGGTCAAAACACATGTGTATGAAGCGACTACGATATAAGGGTCAAGTCGAGATATATCGATTACAAGTGGTCAATTCGAGTAAAGTACGAAGTTAGAAACTTAGTTCCTAACCGAGAGGGTTAGAGTATTTGGAGGATAGTCAGTAGGCTAATCCCATAGATGGCTTAATTGAGCTAGCTAATGTTATGGTAAGCCTAAACCCAACTGTCCTATCCTAACATAGTACTATACTTTCTTATTTACCCCGT